CAACCCAGAACGCCTCGTTGGAGATTTCTCTTTTTCCATTGTTTCCTTCCTGGGTTCTGTGACGTGTGAACACCCAAATCAACAACAAATGACCGGATTGGCCCAAATGGACCAATCCACGGAGCCCCTCCCACACCAGGATCCCTTGGCTAACTAATCCCCCATTGACTTGCATAGAGCTCCCTGAACGCTGGTAATAGACGAGTTGGGATGGCGGAGAAATGCTCTCCTCAGACCCATTCTCACAGCGTTATAAACCTTTTTCTTACTCAATATCAAACCACACTTATTGTTTTTACTTCGGCTGTGAGTGTTTGTGTGTGCTCAGGATGAGTTTTGCTTGTTCTCGCTGTATCGCCGACACGGAAACCTGTCCGCTCCTTGCAGCAGCGAGCCCTCGCAACGTCCCGACCAATCAGAGCACAGTGGGCTCACAGGGAGGAGGGGGGGGGCAGGAGCTCCAACAAGCCGTTTAGGACAGAGAGTGAATACACATACTTTACAGAGATGCTGTATGAGAAACCAATGTGAATTTGGGAAATTGCACAATTCAAATCTATTCTAGTAGACTTCAACAATGGAAATATGATCAGTAGAAATGGCCATGGAATGGGACCTTTAAGCATCTTTAGCAACTGTAACCGCCAATAATTTTATTAGTGCACTCATGTTTTGATGAATGTTCCTTCATAAATCCTCAGGTCCGCCTTGTCATATGCACCTTTTACAGATTCATCAATAATGAATATTCATAAACTACAGCTCTAGCTGGAGATAGAGGAACATGGCGAGGCTGACTTCCTGCCACTGTCAGTAAATGTGATATTAAACACCAGCTGTCAGTATTTATTAACTCGCCGGTTGTTACTTCTGCCAAGGATGTTATGTTTCTGGTTTGGTTCGTCTCAGCAGGATTATGGGAAAACTACTGGCTCAATGTTCATGAAACTTACTGGAAGACTGTCGCGTAGTCCCCATTTTTATCTAGGTTTACATTTGAGTAATCGGATGGGAACGCCCATTATTTTTTGGGTTGACAGTTGTTTACGGTCTCCAGTTTTCCCAACGTATTGCTTGGTCTATGAAGTGGTCTTCAAACGTCTTGTTGTGTCGTGTTTGAACCCCAAAGATACCCAGTTTACAATGATGTTAAACAGAGGAAAGTCAGACACACTGGCTAATCTGGAACAAGTGTCTGTTTGGTATTTAATCTACTGATGGATTATTCACCTCGTCGTTGGAGCTCTAGTCCATTTGCAGTTTAAACCTCACCCAGATATCGCGGTATTTTGTGTAAACAGTACCAGGTTTTATTCAGTAACGTGTTATTTGTTATTCAAACACGTGAGTTGTAATATGAATTTAAAAGGGTGAGCATCATAGGAGGAAATGACATTTGAGGAAGTATCAGTTTGACGTACTACTTTAAAGCAGGTGTGTGTCTCTTGGCGTAAAGAAGTGGAATTCTTTGCCGAATGATTTCAAGGGCTGTAAGAATATTTTGATGTTTAAGAAATTGAATAAAGAAAGCGTAATTAGACAGTATGAAGTTGACTTTTGTGTTCTAATTTTATGTCTCAGTATTTGTAAGCAACTATGACTGAAAGAATATTGCTTTTATTTGACTTTTTAATGGTTATTTCATTATTATTATTTTTTTTAATTTATTTTCAAGAAGGGGCAGGTCAAATAACATTTTCTTGTACATGTTTTGTTTTAAAAAAAAGAACTGCCATGTGTGGAATAAACAAATAAATAAATCTGCGAGGGGTTTAAAGTCCCACAGATCTGTCTGGATGAGCAGGAATGAAGAGTCACTGCGTCCTCTTCTTCTTCTTCATCATCCCTCTCTTCTTCTTCACACACCCCCCCCCTCTCTCTCTCCTCTCTGTTTCCCCCCCCTGTCGTCTGGATCCTTGTCAGGAGTCTCATCTTCACCGGCAGCTGTTGCCATGGCGGTTGTCAACGCTCTCCCAACTACCTGCGCTGGTATTTCCATGGACACAGATCGGGGTGACAGGGATGTGAGGTGTGGGCGGGGGGGGCAGCTCTCCACCGTCAGCAGTTGGTTCGTTAGAGACAGACAAGAGGAGACGGAGGAGTAGGAGGAGGGTCCTGGAAGATATTAAACAGAGAGGGGAAGAGTTGGAAAAGAGTGAACGTGAGAGTGAGAGGCCTCTGTTCATCTGGGATTTCTTCTTCATGATTTCCCACTTCCTTTTAGGCTTGGAGTTGTTCAGAAACATAAAATAAACTGACAAATAATCCTGTTGAACCCCATGGCAGGGTCTGATTTAATCCTGTAGCTAATCCAATAAAACGAGAGTGGACAAAATACAATTTTAATGAAGTTATAAACAGGTTTTCGTGCCCTTCTTCATGCATTACAAACTCTGGCCGTAATAAAGAGACTCTTTAACGCATCTGTTTACATGGGAGGAAATGGAGGGGTGAATTATTAGAATCAGACTGAAGTACCTAGACTTTGGTATCATATATATTAACAATAAAAAGATTAGTTCATAACATTTAAGCCAACATTTCTAAAACTCAGCATACAACACATTGATTGCTGTAACTGTTGTCTATGCAGATACTGAAGTGCTTGTGTTATGCCCATAATATCAGCCAAAACAATGCATTGATCAGACTTTTAATGGAGCAACATGTTTGTTAAAGGTCCCATGTCATGCTTTTCTGGTTATTACCCGTCCCCTTGTGTGTTATGTAGCTTTACGTTACGTCCGCGGAGCCGTTACGTTTGGACCAATCCGCGGACTTCCTCACACACACACACTCGGCGGGACGTTGCAAGGCTCGCTGCTGCGAGGTGCACACACAAACTCCCAGCCAGGCTGCGGGTGTGTGTGTGTGTTCGGGCTGTGTCTCGCTGTCTCGCAGACGGCCACTGGGCTCACAGGGAGGGGGGGGGGTGGCAAGGAGCTCCAACAAGCCGTTTAGGACAGAGTGAATACACATACTATACAGAGATGCTGTATGAGAAACCAATGTGAGTTTGGAAAATTGCACAATATAAATGTATTCTAGTAGACCTCCACAATGGAATTATGATCAGTAGAAATGGCCATGACATGGGACCTTTAAAGCTTGATAAATTGTCTTTCTCTGCATGTTAACACAACACATATTTGAGATCATAATAGCTTATTATCCTGTATATCAAACACCTCAATGAGATGATGTGATTTAAATTGATCAAATAGCTTTTTGGTAAACAATATACTCCCTTTGGTGCAGGAAACTTTTACCTTATGTTATTTGATAGAGTTTCATAATGTTTGAATTGTTTGGGACATTTTGAATCATTACTGCTTCAACTAGTTTCCTTAAGACCTATTAGGTTGGTGGCTAGTGTTGGAAAAGCAATTCTGTTAATGGTTAGATGTAGTGATTGTACTTGAATTTGCCTCATCATGCTCACCTGATGGACGTTTCTCCACTCTGTCTCTCTGAGTTAAAGGCTCCCTGGTTTCCTATATGCAGACGAGGTGCTCCGAATACTTTTAAGCAAACGTTGATCTGCTTTAGATAACACCAGTTCTGTGAGATAGGTTTAACATTTTGGATTTCACGTCCACCAAAGCCTGGTTGAAGTCGCTCAGACCTCTCCCTGCGAAGGAGAAAATCAGTCAGATGACAGACAGCCGTCACATAAAGCTGACATTCTCCTTCTCTTATCCGCCTGCATCTTTGTGACATCGATAATACTACTGTTTGTAAATCTCATTTCCCTGGCTGAGAGGCAGCAGGCACTCGGACCCCCGCAGCCTCTCCTCCTCGTTGACCCCCGTACAGCCGAGCAATCAAGGACAGCCGTCAGACATCACACTGAGCGCCTCGCCGTGAAAGGCCTGAGTTTCTCTTAATAGAACGAGACGAGGGGCTGCGGCTGACTGTATTTCCTCCATCAGGCCCCCCATCAGGCC